ATATAAATATAAATGTATATATAAATGTATAATACATATGTATGGAGAGAGAGTCCTAATCGCCTCTCCACTAGAGATAGTAACATGTTAAAATAGTAGTATTTAGATTTTAGTAGTGTCATATCACATTAATATCCATCGCAGACTCCAGAGTCGGCCTCACTACCCTCAAAGACCGCAACGCGATTCATAGGTACATACAACATACGTTGAAAACGTCCTACCGGCGCCGTGATTGACAATAACGCAGATACTGATGGATCTACGCGTACAATGCAAATCTAAGAACAGTTGTAATCTCCACAATTGAGCGGATTTAAATGTCGCACATATATATGTTGATTCGCTTCCCCGTCCTTCACGAGCGCCCTTCGCAAATATCTAATGATTAGCCTATACGCAGAAGAGATTCAACGTTTCAAAAAGACCATCCGGATAGTGCAAGGTGATACTTATGAATGCAATACCATGCTGGCATCTTCACAGCGCATTCTAAGGCAGACTCATAGCTTACAAGGCAGACTCATAGCATACATAGTGCAGGGGTAGTAGTTGTTAACCACTCATAGGGAATGTGCGGTGAGTATCAGATCACTCATAGCTTATATGATGGCTCGAGGTACCCAGTGCTACGGTAGTTGTACTTGTGTGGTGCAGTATAGTCAGATCAGGGTTGCCAGAATCGTCTTCCACGTTGTATGTTGAACTGCGTAGATGCGATATGCTATCACAATGTCTTGGACTGATACAGTACACAACCAAACGATCGGTGCATTAGAGTACATCCATCGTCGTATCTGCAGAGTGGCTGACCACATGATCATTGGGATTTTCTAAACCCTAAAAACCTTGTCTGCGTGTGCATTCCCAATGATCGAAGATTTGCTAATAAACCTAGCCGCAGTTGTTGCACGTCGTGCTGCAAGTGGTCAGCGTGAACAAGAACCCTGAACTCTAAAATAAACCCTAAACTCTTGACGACGGCCCTTTAGGGTTGACCATCGTCGCCCCGATGTTGAACCCGTCTGCTACCACTGTCACACTGAAAGCGCCACCCTCAGGTTGAGACATCTGCCATATCGGCATCTTCGGAACGCATTGGAACTGTGAACCACATTTGGATCTGCTGGATGTTGCATAATTAACACAGGAGAGAAGGTTATTCATTTGGATCTGCTGGGTGTTGCATAATTAACAAAGGAGAGAAGATTATTCATTTGGATCTGCTGGATGTTGCATAATCAAGGCAGGCGAGAAGACTATTCATTTAGATTTACTGGATGTTGCATAATTAACACAGAGAGAAGATTATTCGTTTGGATCTGCTGGATGTTGCATAATTAATACAGGAGAGAAAATTATTCATTTGGATCTGCTGGATGTTGCATAATTAACACAGGAGAGAAAATCATTCATTTGTATCTACTGGATGATATGTGACTCGCACAGGAGGAACTTAATTGCGCACTTTCGAACTGACAACACGGCGTCTCCTGGATATAAACCTTCACTGCCAGAGAGAAGCCTCGTACTGTAGTGTAGTTCGAATGCAATACCAACCACCACGCATACACTATCATGAGAACAGGACTGAATGTACAGTGTGTCGCCAACATTCACGCGCGTTGCATATAGAGTTTTGTGGTGGGCTGTAAATGATGAACCATAGCAAACATGCGAAGAGTGTACAAGCTAGCAACACACACATATACGCACACACTGCGAACAACGCGCACCACATTCTTGCAACGTACGTGACTCTCGCCCACGAGCAGCTCAGCGCCTTTGTCAATCAGTGGAATCATTCGCTGGTCTGCGTGGTGGGTGTACAGCCACTCGGGTGTCTGTAAACGAGCACAAAGAAAGTGTGAGTGCGATCGGGTGAGGTATTATAGAGAGTTGTTAAAGGCGTGTTCCATCACTTCATTGAAGGGATAACAACAGTGGATGTGAAGCGTAGTAAACTTCTACTGTGTGTGATATTGAACCTAGGTTGAGTGAATTTTGTACTGCTATGAGTCTTCTGGTGCTTCTATGTATGTGTAATATACAAAACTGTCGTTCATACAACACTGTAAGCGAGATTGATCATCGCATTAATATCGGAAACAATGTGATCAGTCTGCTGTGCAAGCATTCGATGCGAAACTAAGTCAGTAACTGAGCGATTCATGGGCTAGAGTTTAGAAAACCCTAATGCACAGGCAGGCGAGCGGATAGGTGCGCACTGGATAGGTTCCATCTCAAACCATCACATTGAAAAATTAATTTTAGACCTCCTTTTTCCTCTTAACTATAGTTTATTATCCTCACTCACCGTGACATGCCGTGTACGTTGACTTCATTCACTCACAGTGACATGCCGTGTACGTTGACTTCATTCACACACAGTGACATGTCGTGTACGTTGACTTCATTCACACACAATGACATGCCGTGTACGTTGCTTTCATTCACTCACAGTGATATGCCTTGCACCTTGACTTCATTCACTCACAGTGACATGCTTTGCACGTTGAATTCATTCATTCACAGTGGCATACCTTGTGGGCTGACTTCATAAGCGCTGGATGGACTGAGCCGATGGGCGGGTCGATGGCCAGCACAAATGTACAGTCTGTTGGTGGAAGGTTCATAAACATGGCACTGTCAACTTCAGAGGTTGTGAAGTGGCCCATGGCTCAGGGAGGGAGCGTCGCTTGGTTGCTAAGACGAGTATGCAATATATACTGGACAGTGTTGTTTGCGAAAGAAAGGTAGGTTGCGGCAGTGGTGGGATGCTATATTTATTGGGTGGTCAATGCACACACAAATAAACGTTCACTGTGAATGCTTAACAGTTGGCTGTATAGCAAACTTCTAGACGCCCCCTCTAAACCAATCTCACGACTGAAATGTAATACCAGCTCTTCAAGTATGTGTCATGCATGCGTACAATTGGTCTCCTACAGTCGTGTACGTAATACCCCTGTTGATGTCACGTCCCATCTTTGAGGTGTAATGGAGCAAATAAACTCACACAATACACAGTGATACCTAATCCTGTGTGCATATCTGGTATACATATTCAACGAGTCTATTGAATGTTCATTTGAAATTACAAACAGAACATGTACGCCATCGGCTCACTTCAGTCGTCAGTGGCCACTGGCGACTGAACATACGGGTTACGCGTGAGATTATTTCTTGACATATAAAGAAGCCGGTGAAAGAGTATCGTTTGCACCAGCTTACTATTCCACAGGCAACAATATGCCAGCCAATAAGTACTGACCGGCGCCTGATCAAGGCCACAGCCACGTCTGTCTCGAAAGCACTGCTACACACTCACTTGCTGCGTCAAGGCACGCAACAGAACCTTCACACAATTCACAACCACAAAGTCCGTCCATCCCGGACAAGTACAGCTTAAATCTGCACACCACGTACAACCCAGCTTACAAAGCACATAGCCATGCCCTACCTACCAGGAGGAAGTTGTGCATTGAGCTGTGTGCACATGCCTATCTTCAGTAACGATGTCTGAAGCGCTCGTTGCACACTGGCGGATTCATCACTGCGGGTGGGTCTGTGACATTGGACGTGGTGAGCTATGGTAAACCAGACGACTGGTATATCGAGTGAATCCTTGGACACAGATTGTGGTTGTGTTTTTATATCACCAACCTGTTTCAATATGTGATAGAAACTTGGCCCACCTCGAAGAGACCAGATACACATTGCTGGAGACTCGACGATGACTACAAAATCACACACATGATGAATAAAGACTCACAAATCTAAATTCACCGACTCGCAAAGGACGCTGCCGTGCAGTGTAGTGTTTGTTCATGCTCCAGCATTGAATAATATTAGGCCTGTCATCCACAGCCCTCACCTCACAATCGCACATTCATCTGCATACTCTGACATGTCTACAAACGCTCCCACACTTGAACGTGTACACATACATACGAAT